AACAAAGAATTTATTTATTATTGTCATCAAACAATATTATAAATTCTTAGAAATAAACAAAAGAAAGAAGTATTTAGATGAGTAAAAATAATGTACTCTTTTATATATTGAATATTATAAATGTCAACTATTATTATATGAAATTTATATATATTATATAAATATGCCTGGTTATATTTTGTTATATTTTCGGTCCAAATTATATTAATAAACAATTAATGCAATAACAAATATTTGCATTGTTACTCAAATGAAGTGTCGAACGTTAATAGGATTATTAAATAGTCAATATAAACTCATTAATAATAATAGTCAATATAAGTCATATAAATAATCATGTAAATTGTTACGAATAATTGGAAAAATAGAAATAATTTTCCATACTTATTGAATATTTGTATAATCTTTGAATGGGTGGTAGATATTTTAATTTTTTGATCATTATGGATATATTATTTTAATTCCCACAAATAGAAGTTTAGATAGTAAAACTAATCGATAACGTACCATCTATATCAAAATATTTAATGTATTCGTCACATTCTGGGCATTTGGGTGCGATAAATGCTTTTTCCCAACTTTTCTCAGCACAATTAACTCCAACTTTATGTTTACAAGGGTGCACGGTTACTTCTTGTAACTCTTTTCTACATATACATCTTTTTATAAAGTCTAAATAAATATGTAATCATTTTACTATAAAAGTATTTTAAGTTAAAAATTANATAACTATAAAAATATTTTAAGTTAAAAATTAATGTTTGGTATTTGTTAAGAAACAAATGCTTGACAAAATATTTAAAATAATAAACGTTAATTTAAATATATTTTGAATTTTAAATAATACTACTCATAAGTAATCGATTTTTATTATCTAATAAAATAAATCAAAAAATAAAAATTTACCCATATTTTGATATTGAAGCAGTTCAAATTTGCAGAATGGACAAGATAAAATTTCATTTAACATTAAATTGTTTGCGCAAAGATTACAAACTTTATGTAAACAAGGAATTAAAGTCACGAATTTTCTATCTGTTTCTCCACAAATAGAACACTCTTTTTCATCTATAATTAATGAAATACTTAAATGATAATTAACTAAAAATTAAATTAAATATTTATAATATTTTTATTTTAAATAACATTAGCCACAATTGATCAATTATTGTTATAGAAAGAAATTATTTTACTATATTGATTTTATTATTTTTTTTTTTGTGTCTGTTACCACTATTTCTCAGTTTTCATCGAACTGATTTCATTCAATAATACGTCAAAAAAATACCCTCGAAAATGTAATATTTTTTAATTGTTTTTTTAGCTAAGGTAGATCATTTTCAGATCAGCAAGTTAAGCTAGTAAAAATTTTTGTCAAAAAGTTCAACCTATCTTTATTATAAACTTTTATAAAAATAACTTAATAGGACCAAAGAAATATATTAAAAATTAAATTTTGCTCAGATTACTTTTCACATTTTAATAATTTAGTTGCTTCTGGTTACCCACATGTTGATTTGTATCACTGTCGTTCGTCGGAGTTTTCAATTTAATAATTTTAAATTGATTTATCTTTTCTTTTTAGTTGTTTACTTATTTGTCCCTGCTATAAACAAGGCCTTATGTGTTATTAATCGTCATTTTCTATTTCGCGTATCATTTTTTGTGACTGCCTAATATAATCTTTGACTTTAATAGTTGTTATCCTGTTGATATGTTTTCATTTTTAAATTTTTTTACTTCCAAGTCTAATTCCGATAAAGTTAAATCTACGGATCATTTAAAATTTTTCATCACCTAAAAATGAATCTACAAAATGTTACCATCAACTGTAACAAACAAAAAGAAGTAAAGTGGTAGTGGCGGTAGCAAGCGGATGTAGTTTGGTGTGAAAGGAAAGAAATGTAACACAGGTGGCCAACGAGGAAATGATAATCGTAGCGGGCGTAGTGTAAAAAGGATGGGCAGCAATGGAAAGTAAAAGTGACCTACTTCTTTTCAATCACCTGTAGGACGACCTAAGTTAGATAGACTGTACTATAAATTTATGCACGATAAGTTATGTTAGTGTCCTACACTCCACTGCACTGTGGCAGAGATCAGAATAGCTAGTCGATAAGTGGAGAGAACTTTAGAGAACGCTTATAATTAGTTGGAGTATTAACTATGATATTATTGTGCTAGTACTCTGTCCAGCCAGGATGTGGCACTTCAATAAGTAATAGAACACAATGCAATCTAGTCATGTAACCTTTTAGTATGCTTATATTGTATATATGTAGATAAAAAAAAATAAATAAACACCAATATTTTATATGTGTTAGAATATTTATTTCACCAAAAGTATTCGACCGAAAATAAGATGTATAATATTTTCAGTGATTACGAAAGAGGGTAAAAATAGTGCAGATTTTATATAGAATTAAAACTAAGAATGAAACATAAACTCACGCAAATTCACTTCGTATATCTTGGTTGAGAGTTCCAGAGAGCTGTAGAGATGCAGAGATAGAATGGCAAGGCGTCCCAGTGTCCGCTAGAGGGATGTTCAGAAACCGTGTAAGAATCACGCAGTAAAAAAACCACTGTAAGAGAAGCGAAGCGCCCGAATTTGGGGAAAAATGGCCTTTTTATAGCCCGCAAAGCTGGTTTAGCGATCTCTGATGAGATTCTTGAAATATTTTTTTGATAAATATTTGATTTGGTGATATATTTTATTAAATATAAGTATTAATTATTACANGCTGTATTTGATTGGTAAATGTGATAGAATCTTTTACGTGGGCGTTTTATGGAATGCGTAATAGGGTGGTTAAATCTTGTGTAAGGGTATTATTTTATTANTGATAAATATTTGATTTGGTGATATATTTTATTAAATATAAGTATTAATTATTACATGTATTAAAATGTGATACTACACAACATTATCTGTTAAGGTGTATAACATTGAAAAAAAAAAATACAAAATATTTATTTTTATTAAAAAATTATCAAAATAATTCTTTAATTTAGGAAAGTATTTTTGCATAATATAATTTATAGCTATGGGCGAGGGTTTATAAATTAACAATAATTAACATTTTAACTATATGAAATTTTAATATTTTAATAGAGTTCATTTTTTTCCCAGTATTTAACAACTATTTTAACATATATTTAGTAACATAAAATTATAAAATAAGTTGCCTTATTTTTAATCAAGAAAAATTGATTTTTAATGATTCCTAAACATTTATTAATAAATATTTATTTATTAGGTTTATCAAAATTTTAAAGTTACTATTGCTATGATTTTTATTTTTAATGAATAAAATAGTTGTTTATAAAACTTAAAAAAGAGGTATAAAAATAAAACTCTAAAAATAATTTTTTGATTTTTACAGTTGTTATTTTTATATTTTTTGTAGAATATTAATCTATATGAGTTGTGAATAGATCTAATTTGGAAACAGATTTTGGCAATAATGAGCAATTTTTGAGTTCCTAATTAATAATTATGTGTGATTAAATATTAATATGTATTCTGTTTTCATTTTAGAAATAAGAGACAGAGTGATACTGATGTTAATAGTCATCATTCATATAAAAAACCTAAAACTCGTAATAATGAAATTTTGAGTTCTTATAGTTCAAGTCAATTTCTTCAGTCATCAAGACAGAAAAGAACATATCCTATTGGTTAGTTTACTAAAATTATTTTAGTATTTAAGTTATAATTTTCCTTGCCGAAAACATTGTAAAAGTTGTACTTGTTTTGGTTCAACAGTATTATTAACCGATGATAATAATAAATCAATTAAAGTTGACAAATCTACAGAATCTGATTTAGCTAGAGATCTTGTAATAGTTGCACCTAGTAGAATATTCAATAGAAGTGGAAAAATACAAGTTTTTAAAAGAATTAGTATAAAAAGTGTATTAGATGAAGTATTTGATGAGCCAGAACCTACACCTTTCACAAGTATTGAGAAAATAGAACAAAAAAAGAATAATGCTGTTAAAGAGGGTATTTTTTTATGCATTTTTAATAATAGTAAGTTATAAAGAAGAGTAAAATTCTGTAATTATTTCTGTACAAGCTTTGGTAACATGGTGAGCGAAAAAAATGTGGTAGAAATGAATGATAGAAGAGACAATACTTGATTTTCAGATGCTCTATTTTAACTTTCAGTGTTTAATCTATATTTATATTTTTCTAATTATATATTTGTTTTATTCTGTTTAATCTTTTTTTTCTGATTTTTTTTTTCTATAATTACTATTTTTTTGTTTTTATCTAAAATAATTATCATGTACATACATGTTTTATTTTATTTTGCTTTTGAATAATTTTCCTTATACTTGTAAATGTATACTTTTCGTTATGTGAATAAAAGAAATGATTATTAATAATCTGATTTCAATTAATAAAATATTTCGTTTTTTAAATCTATATCATATTTAAGCTTTTAATGTTGACTATAATAAAAAAAAAAAATCTCTCATCGAGTTTTTTACAATGGGAAATTGACCATCAAAGTAAAAACCTCTCTAGATACTATTGGCTCGCAAGCGCCATAGAGCTAATAACTAAAAAACTCTAAGAGGGCGGCGACAATGCAGACATAGAGAGAAGATGATGCAACATACTGGTCCTAATTATTTTATAATATTTCATAATTTATTCATAACAAAATTAGAAAAAACATATAAATATCCGAAATATAGAGGAATGTTAGTATTTCCATGATACATCATCAAATGAATAATATTATTTTATGATTGAAACAGTACATTAGTTATATGACATAATACTCAGAAAAAGAAATACTTACATTATAATTATAGATTTATAGATGAGCATTAGGAGGGCAGCATGACAACGATAATATTTTCTATTAATTATNTGCATTAGGAGTGCAGCATGACAACGATAATATTTTCTATTAATTATATATGTAGATCATTTATTTTACATTGATAAAAATATCCAGTTCAACAATTTTTATAAGTAGAGAAATGTATATTTATGTATTTATGTATATTGCTTTGTCGGCAATATACAAAAATTTAATTATGAGTTGTACTTGTACTTGTATAATGAAGTTGTATTTAAAACGTAGTAGATATCACAATTTCTAACAAAAATTGTGCCTGAGGCGTAGACACCGCTGTCCCCCTTGATACGTCCCTGATGATCCTTTATAAGTTACCTACTAGAAAACTAGAATTTTTTTTTAAAAAACCAGACACTTGTTTTTATTGTTATATAACATAGGTAATTATTTAAAACTATACTGGTTGATATTAGCTTCGATGCGAAGCTGAGAAGGTATTAATTTTACCATGATGTGTTTATTTTTTTTTTTGTGTCTGTCACTACTTTTTCTCAGCTCTCACTGGACCGATTTCTTTTAACAATACGTCAAAAGATCACAAATTGTATCTAGTTGAAGACATTACCCTTAAAAATTTAAAAATTTTCCCTCGTTCCCCGCAAATGGGGGAAATATCCAAAAAAATTACAAATTTAAAAATCGACAAATTTTGTCATTTTTTTCACTTTTTTTTCTTAAAACTTCCATAACTTTTTCAAAAATCAACAAATCAACATAATTTTTTTTTAAACTAAAACCTTAGATATTTTCCTTTCATTTGATATAATTTTTTTGAAAATTTAACACTTAACCTGCTCATGGGGGGGGATTTAAAATTGCAACTTTTTTACAAAAACTAACTTTTTCAACTTAATTTTTGAAAATGTTCCGGAAATACTGCGTCCTTTAAACATATATCAAATTAAAGCTTATTTTATGTACTATAAAATGAAAAAAAAAAATTTGTCCCGACACTTTATCTTCTGCATGTAAACGGTTGCCGTAGTTAAAAAAACACTATTTTTGTGTTAAAATTTTCGATTTTCAATTTTTAATTTTCAACTTAAAAATGCTATAACTTTTCGAAAAATGCATGTATCAGCACAATTTTTTTTTTTCTAAATACATTATAAGTACATCTTCCATTTGACATACTTTTTATTAAAATTAGACAATTTCCCCTTATATAGGGGGGGTTCAAACTTTGAAACATTGTATAAAAAATAGAACTTTTTCAACTGAACTTTTGAAAATGTTCCGGAAATACTGCGTCCTTTAAACATATATCAAATTAAAGCTTTTTTTATGTACTATAAAATGAAAAAAAAAAATTTGTCCCGACACCTTATCTTCTATGTGCAAATGGCTGTCGAAATTATAAAAAAAATGTAATATTTGCGATAAAAATCACCTTTTATAACGATGTTTTTTGTACTTAAAACTGCCATAACTTTTTCAAATATTAACTAATCAAAATAATATTTCTTTATATTGAAACCTTAGGTAATTTTCTTTCATTTGATATCATTTTTTTTTGAAAATCTAACACTTATTCTGCTCACAGGGGGGATTTAAAATAGCAACTTTTTTACAAAAACTAACTTTTTCAACTTAATTTTTGAAAATGTTCCGGAAATACTGCGTCCTTTAAACATATATCAAATTAAAGCTTATTTTATGTACTACTAAATGAAAAAAAAAAATTTGTCCCGACGACCTATCTTCTATGCGCAAAAGGCTACCGTATTTAAAAATATGCTATTTTTTATTAAAATTCTAGGTTTTGTATTTTATTTTATTTTAAAATATTTTATTAGGGGAATAAACTGACTTTCATGAATATTATATAATTTCATTGACATAGAATAAAGTTCATAAGACATATGATATTATACTTATTAACATTTTTTACTTTTTTAAAGTCGAAAAAGTAATTTTTAAATTTGAGTTAGCTTAAATAGCCAATTTTATCATGCAACAAAAATCAACGAATAGTTGCCGAATGGGTAACACCTTGATCTTTAACGCCTAGGGTACGAGGTTCAAATCCGTTTGTGGCTTCTAAAATTTTGCATTTTTTTTTTGAGTTAGAATAGAATTTTCAAATCATTTGATATTTATCTCATTTAGATTCAATAATTTCAATAAATATAAAGGATCTTATCACTATAGTCTCCCCTCGTGAGAAGAAATTGATATTCATGTTAATATTATTTTACTATGTGGTTCTTTTTCTGGCTACGATTTATTTTGCCAACCCTCACTAGACCTACTTTTTTCAACGATACGTCAAATGATTCATTTAAGTTTATGATATTTAAGTTAATGATTAGTTTAAGTTATTACTCTTAAAAATCAAAAAAATATTCCTTATTCAAATAAAAAGTAGCTTAACTAGATTTGTCCATACAAACAATTAAAATCATTAATTTTTAATATTCTTAAATTATTTATTGTCGAATTAAATTTGATATGATAAAAGTATTCAACTACAAAAGTAAATAATTTTACTTTATAATTTATTAATTTTTTAACTCTATTTCTGTGTGCTACTACCAGTCTATAATATGCCAAATTTTTTAGTAATATTTTGCTATATAAATCATAAATTTAAAAAAAAAATGATTTTTAGTTTCACCTGAAGTTAACGATGGAGTTTTACAATTATAATTATATTTTTGATAATATGCTCAATTGAGTAAATCTTTTTAACTACTTTGGTTTGATTGGTTCATTTAATTAAAGTAAATTATTAAAATTAATTAAGTTCTGAATATTTCAATTGCAGAATTTTTTTAAACACCAAAAGTTATTAGGATATGATTACTATTCTTTCTATTTCAGTTATCTATTACGATAAAAATGTAAAAAAATCGAATTTTTCTGACAAATGTACTGTAATTAGTAATTATAAAATTTCCAGATTGCATATTAATCTTAAAAATTTCATTTTTTTCAATTTAATAATGTCAATTTCAAACTTGCAAGTTGAACTATAAGTTATGGTAACAAATTCATTTTTTAGCTTCGATGCGAAGCTGAGAAGGTATTTTTCATTAAAACTTTCACTTTAAAAGACAATAAAAAATAGGTTCAAAATGATTACCTTTAACATATTAAAAATCAAAATCAGTATTAATTTAATACAATTTTTTTTGTTCTTAATTATTTTTTTTTATATGTAAATACTTATTTTTTAATAATAAGTAATAATATTAAAACTTAGAAGTAATAGAAAAAG